ATCTTTCACTGGGGCTATCAGAGGTTCGTTCCCTTACTTACTAAAGTTCTACAAGGTGTAATGTTCAGAACTGCTCACATGACTCCCTCCCGGATTGATCCCTTGATGAGTTTGACGAGCTGAACCACCTGAATGAAAGAAAGAAGTGCGCATCCCTTACTCGACAAAAAAGCTAACCGAACCAGACTTTCCTTATGCATTTGCTTCATCTGGGCCCCTCGAACCCACATTCGCTATCCCCCTCCCTCCGACTGAGGAATCGAGCATCAAGAGAGCAATCTAGCTGCAGCGAATCTCCCCCGAAGCAAGAAATTTGCTTTTTGTTGGTTTATAGTCCATCTTAGGCTCGCTCCAAGTATTACGCTCGTTGGGTTCCGGTCTTCTTACTTTATGTTCCGGAGTCAATTGATCCCTCGATCAAGTCCTAACTTGCCGCAGCCATTCATTTCATAATTACAGTGCATAGGCCTATACGTCAGCCGGATCCCAGGCTCCAGGGCCCATCTTTCCAAAGAAGATAGAAAGCCTGCTTCACCTTTACTTCCTTCCGTACCTGATTCTTAGTCTGCTCTAAAAGCAGCTAGTGAGTCGATGTCTTATGGAGTGAAATCAGTATCGGGTAATTCAAAGGTTTCAGCTCTGGTGAAAATGGTATCTGTGGTATATCTCAAATATGTTGTTCACTTCATCCCTCTCCTTTCAGTCGAGTCACTTCTTTATGCCCTTACACGAGACGCAGATAGCGAGCAGACAGCTAGATTCTTACTGAGAAAACCACCTTTCTTTCTTTCATATGGGATTCTCCACATGAGGAGCATTAGAAGGCCATATAGAGCCAAATAGAATAGAATCTAAATTCTACATTCTCGGGCAGAAAAAGGACCGGGGTTTAGCTCTTTGAAGTCCCCAGAAGAATAAATAAACATTCTTTTCCTCTCTTTCCAGACGTCTCATCCCTTTCTTCTACCCGGGCAACAGAGGAAAAAGAAGCCCATTCCTTAGCTCATATTAGAGAAGGTCAGGAATGTTTCAATGAATAATTTATACCCGACCCTACTATAGTTACTGGTCAGAAGCCCAAGCATACAATTTCTTCGGCAACTTTCCCAGCTCTAAAGCTTCTTATGCCCTTGAATCGTCGGAATGCTGCTACTTGTGCCGTACTCCTCTATTGAATCAGTTCTAGCAGGTGAATCGGGGAAAGCTGCCTTGACTATTAGAGCTACGACTGCGGCCTTTCCAACATCTTCTTCCCCTATAAAAGAAGGGAAAGGGGCGCTCAAAGAGCCACCAGCAGCAGACAGAGACCAAGCAGCAGATAGAGCAGGAAGAGGAGCTGCAACAAGTTTCGCTAGAAGAAGCAGCGGGTTTTGCGGCAGCAGTGGAAAGAGCTTCAGCAGGAACTGCAGGTACGGCTGCTACACTAGCTTTTTTCGGGAGACCCAGAAGAGTGCCACAAAAGCAGCTACTAAGGTAAGAGCACCAACAACTTCTATCGCAGGAGCTACTACTTCTTTTCGCTGGAATCCCTAGAATGTGAGCTTAGACTAGAAAAGGGCAGAAGGAGCTACAAATTCGTTCGCTGCGTAGCTTGGGAAGGGAATTTTAAGGTTGAGTTCCAGTCCCACCAGCTTGATAGCTATATATTTCGCAACCGAACTGAAATGAACTTCCGTGAGAAAAGACTTAAAAAAAACTTGTGCCCCTGAGGCTTAGCGCGGGTCCCGGGCCGAGGGATTGGGTCTTTTAGGGCTTTTGTAAGGTCGTCAACCTGCTTTGTACAGAACCGACGGGGAACTACCAAGCCAAATCGAAATAGGGTTAGGCGCGAAAGAGTCAGCACGACAGTCTTCAATTAAGTAAGAAGCACACAACCGTGCCCGATACCTCTCAAGAGAACCATCTCCTTTTGTTTTGTCGAATGAAGCCTGTAGCACTGGACTTGCTTAGCTTATAAATATGAGGTTAGGATTGAGACAAATAAAATATGTCGGGGTTTTGCAATGGCAGAGATTAGGAACTTCTTTCTGGTAGGAAACTTATTCATTCATATCCTGGCGCGGATTCAATCTCCTCGTCAGTTGAGTGCTTTCCCGCGATAGAGAAATAGATAGAGTGGGTTTACCCTGCTTTTTTAATAGAAGATTGGGTTGGTCCGATCCTGTCCTGCTCCTTACAAAAGAGAGTATAGGTACAGCAAGTCCATGGACAGCTGCTAATTAATAGAGAGTGAAACTTGTAAGCCCAGGTTAGAATAGACTCGACCGTAGGGAGAAGTGAGAATAGACTATACTCGAACAAAGTGAGAGGGAGGTAAGCTTGTTTTTCTTGTTATAGGCAGTAGGACTACAAGGAATCGGCTTTTGGTTTCAGCAGTGAAGGATCTAAAATCTCAGCCTTTGGTCTTTTGGGATATTGTTTCAGCACAGAAAGAGCTGTTATCACGACTGAGAGGTCAGGCTCAAGCTTCAGGCCCCACCAATATGGACTAATCGGATCT